TGTATTCAAATCAGGGTCAAGCCAATTTTATTAAAACATCATTTAAAACCATTAGAGCATACATATTTTTAATATAACTATAATTTGAATTTAAAAAGCAAGAATATGACATGTTGATTTCCTGTTTATTGAGCCAATGTTGCAAGATGGCTAATGCCATCTATCGAAATGAACATTAACTAAACCTTGATTTATTTGGATTTAAGAATAATCGATGATCTGCTTATCAGGGAGAATGATTGTTATAATCTTACTACTTGATCTTTTTCTAATTTGCACCGTAGCTCAAAGAGAGAAATGTATTAAAAGAGCATCTCGATCGTGCGAATGAACATTGCTAATGGCAGAGTGCCATCAATCGGAATATATAATAAAGTCGATTCTAAATTTCTAGAATGTGGGAAAATTCCTTTTCTTGAATTAAAAAGAAACGCCAACTCCATGCACGTTTCGCGCTGTAAACCGAAAAAGAAATATATATTTTATATTTATTTATTTATGCTTATGAGGTGATACAGCAACATCTTTACAATTAGAGAGGAGACAAAATGAACCAAATCTAGAAAAAAGAAGTGAGGACATATATTTTATATTGCACAAAAGCACGCAATTAAATCTCTATATTTTCGTGGAATGAAATTTAATATAAAATACATAATTATGTCAATATATACTATATATATCAACTTTTTATACAAGGTTTGGCTAAATTTGTAAAAAAAAAAAAGTGAGAAGTGAATAAAAAATAAATATGGTGAATATGCACACAGAAACGGTAAACATAAACTTCCTTTTGAAAAGTAAGGGGCTTTGATTAGTAAATACCAAAAGGAGCGGTAGAGTGGATAAGTATATAGCCATGGTAAGCTTCCTTCCCTTTGACGACAAACGCCTGGTTGTAAGATGTAAGAGAACATTATAGTACATAAGTTCAACGGTGGTATATATAAACTTTCCATTGAAGACTAAGAACCTGTATTAGTAAATGAAAAAGAGATCGGCAGAATGTATAAATGTAAAAGTGGTATACATTAACTTATCCTCGAAGGCTAAGCATGCGTTAGTAAAAAAAGAAAAGAGGCTTTAAAAAAAGATCAACACTTCGGCTCCTCAGATTTCCATGTTTGCATCCATTGAAGATCTCAGCCTGAGGTTGAAGGAGATGTAAAATATTTAGACACATGTGTGAAGCAATAGGCTAGTAGAGGATGAGAAACTTATTCACAATAGCGGCAGAGGCTAATAAATGGTCTCAAAATAAAATTTGTGAATGAACGCATTAATATATCGGCAAGCCTAAAAGCCCCTCTCAAGATTAGAAACATTCATTTAGCTTACGTGAATTGCGACAGATTGTATTTCATGCTCCAAAGATAAAAAAAAAAAAAAAGATGGTGCTCTCCGATATCTCCTCTCGTGGAAAAAAATAACCCTCGTCCATAAATCAAACAACGCGTGGCGCGACTATAATTCTCATAAAATTGAAAAAATATATATATTTAAAGTAATAAAATTGCTATAGGAAATACATGAGAGCTCTCCTATAAAAATGTACTGCAATCGTCTCTGCATGCAATGTAGATGCAATCTGCCTTCGTCTAATTTCAGCGGTACAAAGCCAACAGTTTTAAAGCCGTTTTTGGCTCGAAATCTCGCTCGTATTCATCACTTAAAAAATATATCTAGTGCTTTGTCCTTGTTGTGAAAAAAAGTTCTTAACACTACATCACTGTATGCTAGTGCTTCAGTTGTGAAGCCAGAGCTATGGTCGCACTACCAGGCAAAGACAATTTCCTCCACGCCGCCATAAGGTACGCGAGCGTAGTTCCCTCCCTCCCCCTCAAGATCTCGTGAGGAAATATGTCTGAGTGATCCAGCTGATTGCCGCGGGGGAGGAGGCCCCGCAGTTTCCTGCGGATGTTCCTCCGCACTGCTTGCATCTTAAAAACAGAAGCTTAGAAAGGAATTGGGTATGTAAAGGGTTTTCTTACTGATATATGATTTCCTGTGCATTATAGGGCAAGTAGGAATACGTGGAGCATGTTTATGATTAATGTATGCATGTTTTATTGAAGTGAGTGTGTTCAAATGTATGTTTTTATAATATAAAAAATATATTAATGTTTATTCTCACATATTAGAACATGGAGAACTTAAAAAAGCGCGCATGTC